TTTAAGAATTTATTACATTTAAAATTTATGAAGAAATATAAATTTTTCTTAAAATGATAAATTTCCTTTAGAAATTATATAGAATAAGAAATCTTAGAAATCTTAGAATATTTTAGAATCTATAAAGAATTCTGGAAAAGATTTTTAGATTTTGTAAAAATTGTTGCAATTTGTATAAATAATCAAAGAAATAATTTTTATAAATTGTAAAAAAAATAAGCTATAAAATAAATTATAATATGTATAGAAGTTCTTAAAAAATTCTAAACTTTACATAAAAATTCTAAATAATTATGTGAATTCTAAGAAAAATTTTCAACAGAGATAGTATTAGAAATTAATCAAACAGTGTAATTGTGTAGTTGTGATTATTTCAGTATAATTGTGATTCATTTAAATTTTACTAATCAATCGAGACATAATGCGCAAATATGCAACAAGTGGCCGCCTTAAAAGTCGATTGTATATATGGTATATCGTCAAGCTTAAATCTATATATAGTGTTAGTTCCAATGTCTGAAGAGCGCATCAAAATAAATCACAATTACACTGAGAGACCAGCTATTTAATAAATCTTTAATACCGTCCTAGTGATTTTTTTTCAGAATTTCTATACAATTCTATAATTTTTTAGAAAATTTCTTAAATTTGATTAAATTATAATATAAGGAAATAATGTTGTCTCCTAAGTAGAAATGTTGAAAAATCAATATGAGACAAACTTCGGGAATGGAATTTAAGAAAAGTATTTCGTAAATATGAATCAGCTGCTTTCATACGGAGCTAACACTTCTCGGAATTAAGAATGCTTAAAGGACTATAGGAATGTCCAAGTTCAAGAAGCCATCTCGAATTTCCTACTTTACTTCTCATCGGTAAATAAAATTTGTTTGATTTATTTTTAGCAAATATTAAGATTTTTCAGAATAAATTTCCGATAATCACTTTTTTATAAAGAAAATATATAAATATGAAATAAGTTTCAATGAAATTCAAATTTGATTGTCTTAATATTTAACAAAAGTTTCATAAGATAATTAAATGACGTAAATAAATTTATACTGGAAATTTTATCTTTAATTTAGTAATTAATTTAACAATAAGTGAAAATCGAGAAATAAGCGAAAGAGGCCATATTCGATCAAAATGGATGCTCCGCAATAATATTTTATCTTATAACTTCCAGTTAAAAGTATTGTTAACAACAAATAAAAAAACAAAATAAATTTAAAAAAATAACAACAAAATAAAACAAAACAAAATAAATAACAATAAGTTAATACTTTTAATACTAAAAATAAGCGATTGATTGGCTAGTATTAGTATTAACCCTTACAATACAAGGTACAATTTGGTTCCTTATCTGTCCAAACATGAATCCGTCCGTTTTTTTCATCTATTCAAAAAATCTTTAAAAATTCACCAACATACTTTCAATTTTTTAGAATAAATATTAAAACTTTATTTTGGAAAATAATGAAATGTAGTATAATTTATAATCTCTAAAAGATTCAAAGAAACTTGCACGAACAGGAGACGCTCGATCACTATAATGACTCGACCTTATACCGGTAAGGGTTAAATTTCTATAAGGGCAACACGCTCCTACCACATCTAATCCTACCCTAACGAGCGTATTGGAGTGAACAGATGTACGGTAGAAACATGTTGGAGCATGTTGAAGCATGCAACGCGAACGAATCTAATATTTTATAAAGGGTGCGTTTGGTTTTGACACACATATATACACACATACACACATACACACTACGGGTCGTATTCATAGAGTGCAGTCGAGTTGCCGCTATGAATGCTTCGAAGCATTTTTTGATTGGTCGATTAGTAAAATTCTTTCTTCTAATTGGTCAATCAAATGCTTTGAAGCATTCATAGCAGCAACTCGATCACAGCCATAGTCGTGAATCAACTTGAGATCCGATATAAGCTAGGTTTGGATCAGTCTTTCATTTGAAAAACACTTTTCAAACCACGATTTAATAAATTTAATTGATTCAAACTTTGATTTAAAGTTAGCTTGCTTTAAATGAGAATCAATCATGGATCGATTTACGACTATGAATATACGGACCTAAGCTTTATTTTATTTTTATAATTCATTATATTCGAAAGAAAAATAAAATGCAATTTACAGCGTGAAAAAACAAATGCGTAAAAGAACAGCACATAAAAAATAAATAAACGCCCTAAAAAAAGAATTCCCTGGTGAAAATAAAAATCGGAGCGTAAGTCGAATGTAATGGAAGAATAATAGAAGCGTAAACGATGAAGCTTCTATTAGAAGGCGAAAATTGAAACAATAAAACATAAAGAGACATTTATTTCCGTTGTTTCAATTTTCGCCTGCTAGAAGCTTCGTTTACGCTTCTATTACTTTCCCATTACATTCGACTTATGTTCCGATTTTTATTTTCAACAGGGTTCGTCTTCTCATTCGAAGCTATACATGGAAACATTATCCGAATTGCCTTCATTTTATCCTCATGAAATATTAAAGAAGAATAAAACAATACATGGAGCAACTCAGGTAATGTTTTCAAGTGTTTCCGAATGTGTTTGAGGATAAAAAATTTTGATCCATCCTCGGAGAACATTAAAATCTTTTCTTTCGAATGCCGCCACGTCCCGCTTACTTGTGGGTGCTGCCATCCGTCGGTCGGTTCAATAACTTCGTTCTCTTCATAACAGCGATCAGCATGAGTGACGTCAAATCCCACGTTACGGTCCATCAGGTATTTCTCCAGATTCCTGCGGCACTCGCAGTACCACGGGTTCCCGATGATGTCGAGTCGTTCGAGGTGCCTCAGATGTGCCAGCTCGTCCAACGGCAGGCAACGTAGTCGATTATACCGCACGTCGAGATGGCGCAAGTTGCCGACGAGTGGGCGCAAAGCATCGGGCTGAATGTACTCGATGCCGTTGCGCGCGAGCACCAATTGGCGGAGCGCAACGAGATCGCCGAACCAATGGGCGGCAACCGCGGGCAGCCGGTTGCCGACGAGCGTGAGTCGTTGCAGCTGATGCAGACCGGCGAACGCGCCCGGCTCGATCGCGCCGATCGAGCAATCCCGCAGATCCAGACTGCGCAGGCTGTTGCCGAAACGGAAGAACGCGTACGCGGGCAAACGGTCGATCTCCAGACCCACGATCTGAATCCACGTAGTCCTGTCCGGCAGACGGTCCAGTGACGTCAGCGCGCTTATCTGGAAGCGGTTGCCGGAACGTTCCTGCGCGAGAGAACGAGCGAGATAAGATATCTGGAATATCTGGACGCGCGATCGCAATTTCCGATCGCGACAGAGAGGTGAGCGTACCCGCTCGTGCTGGGTGGTAGCAATCATGTAACTTTTTCCCTCTAATACCCGTTTCTGCCAGTGTAGATTTTAATTCACTCTTCATCTCTTTCCAGTTCTAAGAATTAAAAAAGATGAAGAGTATGTTGAATCGAGATTAACATTAATCTACATTGATAGGAAGGGACATAAGTTTGTTTCTACTAATGTAGTAGATTAACTTGAATCTCGATTTCATTTATATTCTTTTTTAACTAGAAAAAGATAAAAAGTGTGTTAAACCAAGATTAAAGTCAATCTACAATAGAAACAGGCCTAAGAATTAGAAAAAGATTAACCGCAAGTTGAACCGTGATTAAAGATGATCTACATTGGTAGCAACATTTAAATTCTGATCTATAATATACAATAACAAGACTTTAACCTTTTGTTCCGACTGCTCTGAGTTATAATGTTATTTAATTTGCCCTAAGCTTTAAATTTTAGACAATAGAGGTCTATTTTTTAAATTTTATAGCTCTTTTGAATAAGATTTGTTATAATTTATTAATATTTTTTGTTATATATTTCATTGTACTCCTTGTCTTAAAATATAACATTGTTTCAGTGCCTCTATAATAACTTTCTCGTTCAGTAAAAGTTAAATTTTATGGTTGAGATGATTGAGACAAATACTTGAGTTATTTGCTTAAAATTTATTGTTGCTTAAAATAGTGTCGAAAATGCTTTTTGCTAAAAAAATTAGAAAGAATTATATCGAAGAATTTTCTGAACTGGTGTACTTACACGACGTAATAAATTGAGGTGAAATAAATATAATTTATATATTATTATACCGGTGTACATCAAAGAGTTTATCGATAAAGAACAGATCTTAGAGCTTACAGCAAAAGACTAAAGGCTTACTACACTTATCGTAGATCGAGTTAAACTGTCTAAAGTCAGCGGCACACAATGCACGTTTTCTTGCTGAATTAGTTGCGTTCTAATAAATTACTAGGACTATACCACACGTACTAAAATTATACCACGCATAATTTCCAGTATTTTACTACATGCAAGCAATCGTGCAAGAAAATATATATTGTGTGCCGTTGAAGAGATAGAAACGTGAAAAGTGAAATTTTTTTATCATTGAAGATAACTGGAGAAATTTTTTACTTTTCACATTTTCTATAGCTAGGGAGAAAGTTACATAAAAAATTCCATCGTATTCGATTACATATACAGTTTATGTTATGTTATCTTCATCGTTTTGTTTTCGATTATCATCGGTCACAATAGTCAACTGAGGCTTCGAGTTTTGCTTCTCCTCGTGAGTCTCCGAGCGAATTCGTGGACGTGATTATCAACAAGGACCTAATGACGGAACGGAGTTATAATCACACTAATTACATCAATGATATCGCGGTGATCTTTGCTTCCTACGCAACTCGTATCAGCCGCGCGTCGATTGCGTAGCGCGCGCGATTTTTCGTCAATCCCACGGCGAGCCAATCAGGGCAATAGCCTCGAGAGCCACGTGACCCGGCTCGCGCGAACTTCACTTGAGTTGAGAGTTTGAGAGTTGCGTTCGAGACGATCGAGTTGTTGCGTCGACCGAGACGGACTCCAACGTTTCCACACTTGCGATCTCGCGCATGTAATAACGAAGGGACGCTCGTCGTCGGTCGCTCGAGGATTGCGTGTCGGCTGGTAACCGCCCTTAGGGCCGGGCGGAAGGAAGCTCAGCGTCTGCGAACAACGCGTCACGCGGGTCACGTGATTCGTGCGTCCGTCCGCCATATGTCGCGCGCGGTTTTCGCCGGAGCGGACCTGTGCACGCGTCGCGTCGTCCGGGTTCGACAACGGACGTTTTTCCGTTTGTGTCATTTACATGTCACGCGCGGTTTTTCGCGAGGCGACGCCGCGCGTCGTCGCCGGAACTCGGAAGCAGCCGTCGAAGGGAGACAATGGCATCCAAGGGGACGCCGGACAACACGCAAGGGTTGGTCGTGGCGCTACCGAGAACGCGATTTCGTGCTCTGATAAGGTGAGTTTGTTTGTTTATTGAGTATGTTCCAAAACTTTCTCTCCAAGGAAAATTTTACTCGAAATATAGGTATAGTAAACGTAACGTATACTATAGTAAAACGCATATAAAGTAAAAGCTTTCTCGGAGCGGAAGTTTTGGAACGTAGCCTGAATTATTTTCCCGGTGGAGAGGCGTTGAAGTACAGCAATGGCAATTTCGAATTTGAATACTGCAGAACAGGCATGTCCTACTTTAGCTCGGAAGTTGAGATGCAAAGCCATCGGCGAAAAAGAATTCAATACGGTAAGATTTTGAGGACTGTAACAATTCGTTCGAAAACACTACTTAAGTTCTCTGAATATTATTTTATCCTTATAATGTTAGCCTTATTATTTGGGATTAAAGTTGGACATGCCTGCTGTAGAAGATTAGTTCTACAAAATGACGTAACCTGTATAAAAAATATGTGTGTGAATACTAAGTTTATTTTAATAATAATATAAGTTTGTTTTAATATCAATCATTCAAATTTACAAATGTAGAGAATATATATAATTGAGTGAGTTCACTAAATTGATCATTAGCTAAGAAAGTTAAAATGAGCGTAAGATTTTCTGTAGATTGTGCTACACCAGATAAACATTTATTTATGAACTTGATATTTTTCGAAATTGCTGAGTTTGCGATTAGTTTAGAATTTTTTAAATGGTGATTTGCGGGAAATCGATCAAAATAACTGACTGAAGAAAATGGGAATCGAAATTATATAATTAATTTATGATATATGAATTATACGAAGAATATAAATTTTTGATAGCGCCTTATTTTCCGCGCTACAAATAAATCTGATTATTTCTAAGTATCATCGGCATTTTATACCCATTTATGATATCTCGTGTTAACGTTCGTATTAAATTATATCTAGATATTAATTGCCTGATTTTTCTTCATGTGTGATAATGTGAAGGAGAATAAAACATTGAGAGCAACGACATTATACGGTCGTTAAACGCGCAATTAAATTCTAATTAGCTATCATGCGCGAACTAACGTTAAAGTTCGACTTTCACCCGTAATATGCGTTTGATAAGGTCGGTTTTTTAGGCGATAGAAAATCATAGTAGTGAGATGCTTGTAAGGTACATTGTGCGATATTATCAGATACGTAACGATTGAGGCGTTTCTGCTTCATCTTAAGATTTTGCTTGGACTGAAACGCGATACTACGAAAAAACAATGTAGTTTGACTTGAGCAGTACAGCCTTACTGTCGGTATATCGATACTCGATGTGGTTGCAGCTTATTTCATAAGATCGCAAAACGGACAACGTTTAGGAAGCTAATATTACTCCGATGCTTTCACAAAGATCTCAAATTCTTAATATTCAATTCGAGTTTATCTGATGACCACTTCTATCAATGTTGATTAACTTTAATCTTGGTTTAACTTATTTTTTGTTTTTTTTATAATTTTAGGTTCGGTTCTACCGAACGTGTAAAATATGAAAATGTAAAATTATATAAATTACATTATAGAGAGTTTTGACCATAAGTATAAAGAATCCTCACTTTATTGCATTATCTTGGAAAATGCGGTAATGAAAGTCTAAAGGAGAATTAACAAATAAAATAATAAAATTGTTATAAAAATAAATATTATTTTTCAATAAAACTAGTTTTAATTTTTGTAAAACTAGAAGAAGATAAATAGTAAATTAAACCGAGATTGAAGATAATCTATATTTGTAAAAAATGAATATGAATCAGAAATATTAATTTTCCATATCTGTTGACACCAATAAACTGAAAACTTTCGCAACCAAAGGGTTAAAACAAAACGGATTTATATTCATAAAAAACATTTTGCCCATTTCTATCAATGTAATTTAATTTTAATCCTGATTTAATTTGCTCTTTATCTTTTTCTGATACTTAGATTTAGAAAAGGATAAAAAATAAGTTTAATGGAGATTAAAGCTAATCTACAGCCTCGATTATAAGTATTATTATTACAAAGCACTTCCATAAATTGATGTATACATTCTATCTGCAGCTAACGAAAAATAAATTAAAACCCTGATTTATTGAAAAATAATATATATTATACTAATTTTATTATTTTGTTAATCTTTCTTTTACTTTTATTATCACCTTTTCTAAGAAAATGCAATAAGTTGGAGATGCTTTATACTTGGCTTATGGCCAAGGCTATATATTAGTAAGAATGAACATTACAATAAATAGGATAAAAATTTAAGCTATGTTACGTCATTGTTAAATTATAAATGATTGATTTACCTCGAAATTTTCTATCGATTCGATGGTTATCGTCGGAGGTGGAAGCGGGATTTCGATCTGTGTCATGCACTGCGGATTTCGATGCACGGTGCAGATCCTCGGTCGAAATCTACATTCAATCTCTTGGATGATCGATCTCTCGCGAAAGAACCTCTCCATTCTCAGCCGGCACTCGCACAACCACGGGTTGCCGTCAATACGCACGGTCCTGAGCGCGGTCAGATATGACAGCTCCTCCACTGACAGACAATCGAGGTCATTGTCGCGCAAGTCCAGGGTCTCCAGTCGCGGTAACATGCGAAAAACGTCAGGCTCGACGTGCACCAGGCCGCATCTGGAAGAAGAAACGCGAGATGTACTTTATGTGCTGTGCACTGGAAAAAGAATCTAGGTGCATTGATTAGAATTCTGATGGAAAAATAACAAATCAAAGTGTTCTGGTTAAATTTATTAATCGAGATAACACCAGATATTCAATTATGATGGCCAGAATTCTGATTGATATGATCAGAGTATACTGGTTCATTTATTTTCAATCAGAAATTTTTCTCAGTTTTCGAATTTGGAGATCACGAGAATTAGAGTATGCGTCATAAGCTAACTCTCGAGATCTTTAAGTATGAAAACTGGAATAAGCGTAAAAATATTAAAGGTTATTTCATCTTTGAATAAATTATGTCATAATTTATATAATGGATAAAAGAGAAAAAAAGAGAGACAGAGACGCGAGAGCAAATAAGCTGAGATTTATTGGAAGGTGGGACTATCCAATCTACAATCTCGGAATTCAATTCTGATAGTTAATTCGGTCACTCGCACTATACTGGATTAGGAGCACATTAAAGGCTGTTTTATCAAATATCTAAATGTAATTTCATTATATAATCAACTTGAGTGTTGAATTCATAATGTCATTCAAATTATACTCAATTTGAATTATTTTTAATCATTTTTATAGATTGTCACTGTTTTTATTCCATATGTCATTAAGTAAAACAATGGAGTTAAATAATTTTTTAGTTGTTTAAAATATTTGTATGCTTTTACATTTACTTTGCTATTTCGTGTATACAGCAACTTTTAGTATTCACTAATTTAGTATAATTTAAGTGACCAAATTCATTATTATCCACATCTTAAAAAATAGAAAATATTGCGCTTTCAGATTTAGATAATCACGGGAAGGATCCTAATAATTAAGACTCTCAATATTCCAATTGGAAATATTCTTTTAGTGGAATTAAAAGCTCTTAAAGCTCTTCAGATTTCTAGATCTTTTGAAGCGAACTTTTGCCAAGCACTGAGCTTTCCGCTAATCGAGTTTAATATCTAATATTTGTATACCGAATGACATCACGATCGCAATGGTGCAACGAATAAAACTGGGTCATCGACATTACCGAATGTATAACTGCCGGACGCTTTACATAAGCTGCTGCACCACGTGGCCTCGATCTATCGGTGCCCTCGAATTTTATGAGTATAGCGATGCTGCGACAATATTATCGTATTGTCGATGACATTTTGCATGAATCACTAATGTGGCGTTGACTGCCATCACGGATCAAATGAAATAAAAAGATTTTTAATTGATGATAATAATAAAATTAATAATTTCTATTATGTTATAATGATTTTTTATAACTGTCGTGTATTTTCGTAGAACTAACGTTGAAAAAACTACAGTTACTTGTGTTTCCAAATTTTGTTCCCTTGATATTGTTCGTTTAAATAGCGTTTTTAACCAAAAATTTACCGTAATTTTGTCAAGTTGGACTCATAATTAGACTGTGAGAAAAACAGTACCTGTCTAGGACCAGTCGTCTGATATTCGGCAAGTGGCGGAACCACGCGGACCTCACCACGTGGATCCTCGTGCCATGAAAAATCAGCCAGTCGAGTCGATTCAAACCGCGAAACGCCGCGGGTTCGATCAAATTTACGTGGCAATTGTAAAAAGATAGGCGACGTAAATTCGGGAATCGGTGAAACGCGTCGTCGGGAATCGTGTAGAAGCGCGACACCGAGAATTCAATCCACTCAGTCTCGCCGGACAGTTCGTCGAGGTCGCTTAGGTCACCGTGGATGCACGCGTAGGCGATCGACCGATCGTTGTCGGCAATCGGTGCTAAGCTGCATTTGCCGTGCACTTGGCCAATTAGGCCGACCAACGCCCAAAGAAGCAATATCGAATTGACCATCCTTCCTTGTGATCGCCTGGTCGGTGTTAGTGGGTCACCTAGAAAAGGGAACGCCTTTAATCGAAAATATCGACGATTATTTTTGAAATATATTTAGATCTTGGTGTATACACTGAGAAAAAAATGCTATTAATTCAATTAAAGTCTATATTACGGGCTGTCACTAACATAAGTAATTAATTCATACATATTTTTCATTGACATAAAAGTCTTATTATTGAAATAATAATTTATGCCTTCATATCAATAAAAATATACATGAACTAATTACTTATGTTAGTGACAGCCCGTAATATAGACTTTAATTGAATCAACAGCATATTTTTCTCAGTGTACCATATAAAATAAATATTTTATAAAATGTCCTTACAAATTGACGTTATAAAATATTAATCAAGATATACACGGAAAGAACGATTTTGCTGGAGTATCAAAAAATTTAATTGGATATAGATCTGAAAGTAATTTTGTTAGACTATAAAAATAATTATACGTAGGACGTTCAAACATAATAAGCAA